GAGGAGAAGGAGAAGAGGAAAGAGAGAGAAAGGAAGGAAGAACGGAGGGAAGGAAGGGAGAAAGAAAAAGAAAAAGAAAGAAAGAAAGGGAGGGAGGGAGGAGGGAGGGAGGGAGGGAGGGAGGGATAAGAGAAGAGAAGGGAAGGGAAGGGAAGGGAAGGGAAGGGAAGGGAAGGGAAGGGAAGGGAAGGGAAGGGAAGGGAAGAGAAGAGAAGAGAAGAGAAGAGAGAAGAGAAGAGAAGGGAAGAGAAACGAAACATTCTTGCACACATCTCTTGGTAAACAGAAGCTCTCCTTGCTGTGCTATTCATACCCAGGCATGGAATTGCTACATCCAAGGTCAATTTCAGTAGGCTACTGCCAGGTTGCAAACAGTTTTATCAACTTCTATTCCCCCACAGTATCTGAAAGTTTCAGCTGCTCTGTTTTCACGGACATGTGATCTTGCCAGACCCTTTGATTGTAGCCTTTCTGCTTGGGTGTCTTTGTAAATTTACACTTAACATTCTTCTGATTCCCTATAGGCTCTAAGTATTACCGTTTCCCTGGATTTAGTTATAGTAATTATTAGTAGTACATAACTGATGGAAACAACACTTGTGCCTCCTCCCTACCACCACCCTTGCTTCAGGAACACTCCTTTAGACAACTCACTATTGTATTGGAAACAATGTAATGGAAGGGGGCCCATAGAGTGAGGTCTTTGCTTTGTCATTCTGTCTCTGATGCCTTTCCCAATACTCTGCACACAGTAGGTGCAAAACATCGTATAAGGACATGAAAGTATGATATGAAAGCCTAATTGCAACTCACTTTGTGAGCCATTCCCAACCACTAGAGGGTAAGCAGGGGTCTTACTCCTTTTAGGCCTTAGATCCAGCACTGGAGAATCCTTAATTTTTTAAATTTTTAAGTAATCTCTACACCCGACATGGGGCTCAAATCCACAACCCCAAGATCAAGAGTTACACACACCACTGACAGAGCCAGCCAGGTGCCCCACGGAGAATCCTTTAATAAATAATGTTTGCGGGCTGCCTTGGTGGTTCAGTGGGTTAAAGCCTCTGCCTTCGGCTCAGGTCACGATCCCAGGGTCCTGGGATCGAGCCCCGCATGGGGCTCTCTCCTCAGTGGGAAGCCTACCTCCCTGTCTCTCTCTGCCTGCCTGTCTCTCTCTGTCTCCCTCTCTGCCTACTTGTGATCTCTGTCTGTCAAACAAATAAATAAATAAATAAAATAGATAGATAGATAGATAGATAGATAAATGTTTGCTACACCAAACTGGCCTCTGGAGGCCGGGCATTTTAGCCTGTGCCCCCTGCCTTGCCTCTCAGAGCCTCAGGCCATTAAGCCTGGGCACCGATCATGCACACACAGTGATGACAGTCCTATTGTTACAACATCCTTCAGACCATTAGTTATAATATTGCACATTATTACACTATCGCAACATGGGGCAGATCTTGGCACACTGGGCAGGAACGTGATGGTGTGAAATCTTGTTTTAGTATATGTGCTGCTGAAGCGAGCACTGAAATCTTGTTTTAAATGGGGTCCCCAGCTCCAGACATGCAAACAGCTGTGGGTCATGAGCAAGAGTAGGAAACTTCTAGGTCTGGGGCTCAGGGATCACAGCGTTCCCTTGCACGTTCTCCTCTGGTCCTTGCTCCCTCCCAGTCTTGCAGACTAGCTATACGTTGGGTCAGAATGGTGCCCCTTGCCTAGGGCTGAGGACTGAGTTGATCTCTGTAAAATGCTTAGTCCAGCACCTGGCACACAGCAAGGTATGGGGTAAGCAGCAGCCCTGTGTATTACTATCATTGTCACCAGCTGCTGCGAGAGTGCAGAATGCTGGGGGACTGTGCCCAATACCAAGTATAAGCCTCATGGCCCTAGGCTATAGGGAAGAAAGCAGAAAGGTGAGCAGAGAGGAAACATGGGATTTTCATCCATGGAGACTAGTCACTTCTAGCACAGATTAGACCAGGAATTCCAAACACTACTTTCCCTGGGGGAAGGTGAGGACAATTCACAGAGAGCAAGTGACCTCAAGGCCTGAATGACTCCATTCCTAGGAGACTCCTAGAAGAGCAAGAGACATACTGTGAAATTTGAATCTAGCCCAGATAGGTCATTTCTGCCTCCTGGAAGGGTTCTATCAGAGCCTGGCAGAGGCCCCTGATGCAATGGCAAGCTGCCACCGGACATACCCAGATGTCGCCTCTCTGGGACAGGAGCGTAGCCAGACCCCTCCAAGGACCCCTCCAAGGACCTTGTCCATGGTGGCACCCCCTTTGGTCTCCTCTCACTAAGATGGAAACCCAATGCTGCTCACTCTTTGAACTGCTTCACATGGGATTTCCCCCACAGAGACCAAGCAACTAAGAAGGGAATGCCTAATGCTGCCTCGGGAGGAAACAGAGGGCCTTTACCAAAAATTCTCCCAGCTGATATCTCCACTGCTTCTTCATTTGACAGCATAGTTTTGCCTGTTTGTTTTTTTTTTTTTTAAGATTTTGTTTATTTATTTGACAGAGATCACAAGTAGGCAGAAAGGCAGGCAGAGAGAGAGGGCAGCAGGCTCCCCGCTGAGCAGAGAGCCCCACTCGGGGCTTGATCCCAGGACCCTGAGACCATGACCCGAGCCAAAGGCAGAGGCTTAACCCACTGAGCCACCCAGGTGCCCCAGTTTTGCCTGTTCTTAAACAAGGAAGGAATAAATGGTGTATGATGGTAAATTAAAAAAAAAAAAAAAAAGATTCTCCCAGCCAAGTGTGCCTCGCCCCTTGGTTTTCTGCACTCCTCGGTCTCTGAGTAATAAAAGGAACCAGTACAGAAAAAGGGGAAATCGGGCAGGGATGAACAAGACGGCCATGAGTTTGTAATTGTTGAAGCTGGATGATGGGCATGGGCTGGGGGGGGGCATGTTCTCATTCTATTTTCTCTTACATTTATTTCTGATATACATTTTCTTATGTTCTATTTTGTATTTGAAAGTTTTTCATAATAAACAATGTTTCTTGAAAGAATCTGTGAATAACCCAAAGCCCGGGAGGGTAAGGGCCAACTTCTTGATCTCTTACCAGAAATCTCCCCTAACTTGGATGAAATCTGAGTGTATCCAGCAAGGAAAATAAGGTGAGGGCACGGCACTGGTCTGGCTTCGGTAGGTCATCAAACAAGGTCTATGTTTTCCAAGGGGAGAGAAGCCGTGGTGGCTCTTGGGTTTTGAGGAAAATGTTTCAGCGGGAGAGAGAAGGTGAAGAGGGACTGATAAGTGTACTCTGACGGCTGCTGAGTCTGCCCCAACCGACTGGGACTTGGGACGGCACTGGGCCTCTGGCCCCACCCCAGCCTTTTACCTGAGGTGAAGTGTGTTCTCCCAAGCCTCCAAGGATAGGTGGCTGGGCCCCACACTGGGGGCAGACGTCCTCTCTCCCTTCCTGGGGTTCTGGCCTCCACATGGTCCAGGTCTGGTGATGGGGGTAACCTATCTGTATCACCCTCCTATACACCCCCTCCTGCAGCTGAAAGCCACACTCCAAACCCAGGATTCCTGAAATCGGACACATCATATCAACCATCCCAAGACGTCACCTGGCCATAGGCCTCATTACTCTGGCCAATTCCCAACTCTGCTTGAAGTTGGCATTTTAGAGGCCTTTGGTTAACAAGAGCCAAAATAGGCCTGCTGTTTCAGGCCAGATTAGGGCTCCTAGGCAGCATCAGGTGAAAAGTGCCTCGTAGGTCCCTGAATGATTCCTACGTACCTTACCGAAAGGTGTCTCCCACATGGCTGGTCACTGTTTGAAATTCCACCAGCAAAGTAGCATCCTTTGGGACTATACATTGCTTTCTTGAGATAATATTTTCCAAAGCTACCCTGGGAAAGTCACACACGAAAACTATACCGGTGCATGAACTGTTTACTGACCCGGGTATCTGAGAGCGAGGGAGAGCACAGAGGGCTGGCTAAGAGCAAGGGTGACAGGGAGTGGTCCAGGCAGCTTGGATAGGGACCTCTCCTAGTTTCAGGGTGCAGGCTGTTGGGTTCAGAGTGAGAGTTGAAAAGATGTTTAGGGGCACCTGGGTGGCTCAGTCGATTAAGTGTCTGCCTTCAGCCCAGGTCATGATCCCAGGGTCCTGGGATTGGGCCCTTCTCCCTCTCCCACTCCCCCTGCTTCTTGTGTTCCCTCTCTCACTGTTTCTCTCTGTCAAATAAATAAATAAAATATTAAGGAAAAGTTTAGAGGGAAAGGGACAGGTCACTCAAGGTAGAGCTCACTGAAGTCGCCTACAAAGCAAGGCTGAAGCAGCCAAAGCAGGGTCGAGAACCTACCAGCTGACAGTTTGGGGGTACCTCCCCAGAAGCTAGCCTTTGTCTCTTGCAGAGCACAGGAATGGAAGTGACTCCTGGAGTTCCAGAAATGGCTGCCTGAAAAAAAACCCATGAAGATATTCCCCAATCCATCTGTCTGCTGGAGAGGCACCCCAAGCCTCACCCTGCACAGCTGCCCCAGGGGGCGTGCCTCCTTTCCCACCCGCCAGTGACTCAGTGCACAGGACGAAGGAGGCTAGGAAGAGAGGATGTAGGGTCTGAATCTGCCTTGTAAGGTGTAGCTGAGCGCTCCAGCCCCTCCGTTTATAACAACATGTACCCAACCCTTAATAAATTCCAGGAACCATTCTAAGATTGGTGTAGATAAACTCATTTAATCCTCACAACACTAGAAGATCTATTTTTTTATACATAGAATATACGTATTTCATCCCCATTTTACAGCTGAGGAAACAGAGGCACAGAGAGGTTAATCAAGAGCGCAAAGGGACAGAGCACAGAGTGAGTGAAAGTTAAGAGTGGGGTACAGGCCCACCCTACACTACAAGCAGCACCCGTACTCACTGGGCACTCTGCCTCTGCTACCCTCATGTCTACCAGGCAGCACAGGGGAGAGGTAGGGGAAACTGTCGGTGTTCACCAACTCTGGGTCAGGCACTTGACTGTGTGCTTCAATCTCAGAAGAACCCAGTGGAGATGCGCCATGATACTCACTGTCCATGTGGGGAAGCAAGACCAGAGAAGTCTGACCATCTGCCAAGGCCACACAGCCCAGGAAGGGGTGGAGCTGAAATCCAAACCTTGGTCTGAGCTCTGCCTGGCAGGCCTCTCCTCCCCAAATTCGCCCCCCTCCGAGCTAAAGAGCATGGAGACCAGAAAGGAAGGAAAGGAAGAGGGGGGTGAGGAGGCTGGAGAGAGGCTTCAGAGGCAGTCCTTAGCCGAGCAGCTTATATTCCCCAGGGTCCAGGAGAATGTCTGGACCTCCTCCACCTCTTGAGGGACCACAAGCAGCCATGTCCCTGGAGATGGACCACCCTGATGCTCCTGGAGTAATGGCTGGGCTTTTGGGGTCTGGAGCAAGGTCCTGTGGAGGTCCGCCCCACCCCGCCGCCACCACTGCCGCACATCTGCTAGCCACCCAGCACAGGGGCAGGATGGGGGGCATTGCCAACCAGTGGTACCTCCTGATCTGTGGACTCAGACAAATGGGTATACAGCCTGGATGGGGATACCTCACCTCCTCCAGAGAATGAAGGTAATAATCCAGATTGCAGGGTAGGCAAGGTCTGTAGCACATGGAGAGGGCATGAGCTGGGACAGAAATGTGGCCTGAGGCCCCCTGGCTTCCCTCTGACCCAGGCTCCACCAGCCCCACAAAAGGGACAAGGCAGGAAGACAGCACAGTCCGTGCTTGGGCTGGATGTCCTCTGGGAAAGGGAGCAGATTCCCAGCACAGAGGGCCCAGGGGCTTCACTGGAGCAGGCGCCGCCTGTAGACCACTGTCAGGAACAAGGCCAGGAATACCCCAGTAGCAGCTGCCCTGAGCCACGGAGCCCAGGCGCTGACCTGGATGTACTCCTCCTCCCCCAGGGGCTCCGGGGTGGCACACGGCCCAGGATTTCCCTCCAGCAGGTCGACACTGGGGTCCTGGGTCACTTGGATCCTAATGGAATCCACTGACTGGTACTCGTTCTCCTCTGGGGCATTGTCAGGCCCCGCGTCCAAGGACTTGCTGTAGCTGAGGGCCAGGTCCGCAGAGCAGCCCGAGAACGGCTCACTGTCCACCCGGGAGGCCAGACAGCCTGGCTTGCTCAGCTCCAACTCGGACTCCCAGCCAGAAGAGCTGGGGTTTGGCTCAGGCAAGCTGTCTCTGGTGGAGATGGTGGGCCCTGGAGCTCCCGCAGTCTCCTGGGAAAGAAAGGAGGGGCTGGAAGGGACTGGGGATGGCAGGGAGATGGCCAAGTTACATGGCCCCATTTCCAGCCAGGTTGTGAACTAGCATTCCAACTCTCCAATTCCCAGCCCGTAGTCTGGAAAGGAAGCCGCCCCCTCTTGGAGACTCAACCCACTGATGGTATAGGAGGGCAGTGGGGGAGGAGGGGACCAAGGCTCTGCTGGCTGGGGTACCAGTGGTGACTTCCTCCAATGTACCCCTCTTGCTACTCACTGGCCTGCCTGTGAGATCACCCCCACCCTCCTGGAGCCCTTGGTGGCTATGGCCCCATCCTACTCTGACATTCTGCCTGGGTGGAAGGCCATGGAGCAGCCACAGCATCAGAGCCCTGCCATGGGCCTAAAGGGTCCCCTGGACTCGGTTGCTCCAGGCAGACAGCAGCTGTAGGGCTGCCCCAAGGGGGCAGGCATGAAGGGGAGGGGCACTGCTGTGTCAGTGTGGCTACCTCCAGCAGGTTAGTCCCATCTAAGACTGTAGTCAGTAAGGACTGGCTCATGGTGGGGCAGACTGGATATCCCAGTGGTAAGGAGCAGGGCACTGAGGCAGGCAGGCTGCCCCGTGCTGCCCCTCATTGTTCAGTCTGCAACACACACTACTGAGCTCCATGGGGAGCTGCGAGCTCTAAATGGGCTAAGGCACATGACCAGTGGGGGTGGCCATCATGCCCCACCTTCCTGAGGCATCCATACTCAGGGGCCTGAAGGATTATTATTACTCTAATGGTTGTGATGTGGGGTCTGGAAGAGGCTAGATCTCAGCTAGCCCTACACCCTGGAGGAGCAGCGCTGGGACATCCCAGGCTAGAGACGGACTGGAGACTGGAAAGGGTCCAAGGACAGGGCTAGGGGGAAAAGCCTGGATCACTGCTGGACAGGGCAAAGACTCACCCCTGAAGGTGTGTGGCTCCTGACGGTGGGCACAGTGCTGGCAGGCACCTTGCTGGGCACCATGCTCGTGGACATCCTGGGCTCAGGCACCAAGCCTGTGGGCACTCTGGGTGCTGCTGTGCCAGCACGCACTGAGTTGATGGGTAGTTTGGACGGTGGCAGACTTGTGAGCACAGTAGTGGCTACTGTCCCTGAGGGTTTTGAGCTGGCAGGCAACTTGAAAGGCACTGTTCTGTCAAGTGCTGAGCTGGCAGGAACCCTGGAGGACGCAGTGCTGGTGGTCAGTGAGCTTGTGGACACCCCAGCCCCCGCGGAGCAGACGCCGGCCTCACGGTGGTCACCAGCACCCCCGGCACAAGCCAAGCCCGTGGACGAGGAGGAGGTGCCAGCAGATGGCACTGACACGGAGGGTGCAGGCAAACGGCTCGCCCTGTGGGTGGAACGGGTCAGGGGCTGGAAGGAGACAGATGGAGACACAGGCCCACGGGATGAGGGGAGGCTGGAGGCCGTGCCTGCAGGGGGCAAAATACAAGGGGAGACACAAATCACAGGACCGTTACTCTAAAATCACAGTCACCCTGGGATCAGAAGGCTGAAGAGCCACTGTGCCCTAGCTCAAGTAGCTACTGCCTCCAGGCCCCCCAACTTCTTACCCAGGGAATCGCCACAGTCCCTTTGGTCACTGCGCCCAGGCCCAGGGGTCCAAGAGATGCAGGCACATCCTTGGTCCTATATATCCTTAGTCCTTGACCTAAAGCTGAGTCTTCTAAGAGTGAAATGGTCCCTCTCCCTAACAGCATCTAGGAGCTTAAAGATCACTCATTATCCTCTGCTCTTTCTTCTCCTGCCTGGGACACCCTCCTTTCCTCCTGTGTCTGCTCCTTAGCTTGGGGGAAATTCTGGATACTCCTCCCTCTGCCACCTTCCCCTCCCATAGGAGCAATTCTGGACCAGGCAGAAGAGCTCCCAGCAGTCACAAGGCACCAGAGGCCCAGCCAGCCCCCAGGGTGCGCAAATCTCCTAGGACACCTATGGACTCCAGGGCAAAGGGTGCAGGGACCAAGCCACCCCTGACATGAGGGCTTGAACTGGGACAAGCAGGAGGAAGCAGGTGGTGACAGTCCATAAAGGCTTTCCCTGTGGAACTCTGAGAACACACATGCCAGGCCCTACAGCTGACAAAGGCCAGGAGTCATTCTGATGTACCACCTGGCTCCCTCCAATCTAACACACAACAGAATCTTGTGGGACCTGTATCCGTGCAGGTACTGAAATCTAAGTGCCCTTTGCCTCCCTGGTCCACATCAACGTCTCCTGCAAGGTGTTTTATGGCAAGCTGACATTGCAAAGTATAAACAGGTGCTGGGGGAAGAATTCTAGGGTGGCAGGAGTGTAGGGCACTAAAGTGGCTTCTCTGAGCCTGTAACTGTTCATGTGCCTTGTGGCTGTCCCAGGGGCACCAAACGCGGGGCAGGCCATAATGTTCCATGGAATGCAGTCTGGGAAATAATGATGCAGAGAAATGCCAGCCTGGGAGGTCAGAATGGACCTCTTCTATATTCCCAAGAGGGAGTGCTGAGATCTGGTTTGGGGTCCAGGCCCTTACCTGATGAAAATCATACTTCCTCTGGGGACTGAGAAGTTTTAGTGATTCCCCGGGAGCTAGATCCCCATTTGGGGTAGGGCAGTGCCCACGGGCTCCCCCGCCGGTAGGTGGCCCAGGCCTTCTGCACTGTTCTCCAGATCCTGAAGAACCCCTGCAGAGTCACTCCTCTTGGTAGAGTCCCCAAATAGCCCTAATCCTCTTCCCTTACCTGTATCCACACCCTCTGCAATGTGACTGTCACTCCTCTCATCCAGGGACGGAATCTATTTCCTGACTCCTTGACTCTGCGCTGGCCTCCGTGACCTGCTTTGGCTCACAGAATGAGGCAGGATGAACACTGCCAGGTTGAGTCTTTGCCCAGGAGCCCGCTCTCTCAGAATTCTGCTCAGCTGCCATGAAACAGACTTGTCTGTGAAGGACGAGGACTAGCTGACAAGAACCAAGGTGCCCAGCCACCAGGCATAAGCAGAGCGTACGTGTGTGTGGGCATCAACGTGTATACAACTGGGAATTGTATACAACGTGAATACAAAAGGGAATTCAGCCGAGATCTGAAGAACTACCCTGAACCAGCCCAAATTGCTAACCCACAGCATCATGAGCTAAATTGCTATATTTTAAGCTACTATATGTTGGAACAGTTTGCTGCACAGAAAATATGGATATGCCCTCTAAGGAACTGAGCTGCTCCCTGAGGTAAACTTCCTTTATTCCCACTCTTGCCTCCTGTCCAAGGAAGCCAGGGGGGCAACTCTAAGTCTTTACCCTCACTGGGAGGTTGGAGAGGCCCCAGAACTCCAGATTCCACATGTACCTGGTGTGTGGGCACCGCCTAGTTCTGTGTCCAGCTCTTCATGTCCACTGGAGGTCAGAGGGCTGAAGGCCGCCATGTCAGAGGACGATTCCAGGGGGCCAGCTGGCCTCCTCAGGACAGCCCCTGAATGGGGCATCCGTGGGACCTTCTTTGAACTCTGCAAGAGGGAAAATATAAATGAGGCAATTGCTTTTCTCAGGAGTGGGCATCTCCTACAGGTCTCAGCCTATAGCACGGAGTACAGAAACTGAGGAAGTCCCTAGCCCTGGCTTTGGTCATTGCCAGACCCTGTCTACTGGAACCTACCTCACCAAAAACACACACCGTCCCATGCGGAGTCTCTATTCATCTGCCTGGCCCTGTAAAAGGTTCCCCTCTCTGATGCTATTGCACAGACCCCTTTCTTGGGCTTCAAGTTCATGGTCTGGCCTCTCCTGGACATCCCAACAGAATCAGCCATTTCCGCCCTGAATCAGCTTTACTGGCAATAAGTACTCCAACCACCCCTTTACCTCCTGCTTCCCCAGTACCCCTCCGCTGTTCATTCCCTGGTCCCTCGATCTACCTCATCTTGTCACACAAACCACTGCAAAGACCACAAAACTGTGGCTTCACAGCTGGCTGGTAAGGGGATTGAGCACTGCCACAGGGTAAAGCCCGGCTCAGCAGTCTGAAAGCTGGTTTGGAGCCTACCTCCACTGAGGGAGCCCTGAGGTTCCGAGCAGAGATTAGACATGGTTTGTGGTTGGGAGAGAAAAGAGCTTCTAGAAGCTGGACAGACGGGAACATAAAAGCAGAAGGCCCAAAGTAGACTGTGAGGACACACCTCTTCCGGGGATTCTGGTGGCTGGGTGTCCTGGACTGACAAGGGGAAACTTGGCTCCTCCTCTCTGTAGCCATTGTGGGGGGCACTGGGGGCCACAGCAGGTCTAGAGGACCGTGGAACCTCAGCAGGAACTAACTGTGGCTCCACTGGGGCTGGAGGCCGGTTCCGAACCCCTGGAGGCAAAGACAGAGTGATGTCAAGGGGGAATCATGGATGCTCCCAGTGACAGGAAAGGCCTGCGTGTTCCTGGACCCCCAGGTCAATGACTATCAGCCCCCACCCCCAGCTCCCAAAGCTGTCCTAATGTAGGATGTACTTAGAAGAGACAAGACTCATTGAGTGGGAGGCAGTAGCAGGAGGAAGAGAGTAAGGTAGGGAGGACAAAAACAAGGAGAGGTAGAAGGAGTAGGGTGGGAAAGGTTGGGGGGAGCATGGGGGGTACTCCACAAGCCTCTCCCAACCCAGGCTGGGTCAGCGGTCACCACTTCTCTGTCCCCTGTCATTCTGGAACCCAGTGGCTTTCTCCTCCTCTTTGTTGGTGGCTGTCACCATTAACTGACCCCTCAGAAAGAAGGATGGAAGGGAGGGAGGGAGAGGGAGGGAGGGAAAGAAAAAAAGAAAGAAAGCAAACAGGAGGCTATTCTAAGGCTGTAAATCTAGTCAGGGTCTCAGCAGTTGTCTCCAGTCTGAAACATAAATAGGGCTGGCTTGAGTTTTCTTCCTGTTTTGACCCTTCAGACCTGACCTCACCAGACCCCTCTGGCCACTTGGCCCGGCAGGGTAACTGGGCAGCTGGGGTGGAGGACTGAGAAAACTCCAGGGGAAGCAAGGGGGAGAGGAAGAGATGAAGGAAAGGAAGGAAGGAACCCATGAGGAAGAAAGAGGAGACAGTGAAGGGGGAAGGGAAGAGAAGAGAAGAGTAGAGTAGAGTAGAGTGGAGAGAAGGCAGTCAGCTGAAAGAGAGACAAGAGGAAGTGAGAAAGAGGAGGGAAGCAAATGTCACAGCCACAAAAATTAGAGGAAGTCCGATCTCCTGAGCACATGGGAGGTGTCCAGTCCCACATCCATCATCTCGTGGTACCCACCACAGTCCTACAATGTAGATGTCTGGCCATTAGTCCCATTTTACAGAGGGGAAGACTGAGGTTTAGAGAAATTAAGGGACTTGGCCGAAGGGACATGGCTAACAAGAAGCTAAGCTGTGATCCACACCCAGGTTTGTCTACTGCCTGGGAGTCATGGAAGGGAAAGTGACAGAGGGAGGCGGGAGGTACAGAGGTGAGGGGAGAGGCTTAATGGAGGCCAGGGGAACCAACAGGGGTTCCACAAGGAGGGCCACAGCAGGAAGCTCACCGGGCAGGTTGCTGTGGTAGATGCGAGCCACTTCATCAGCAAGATCCACCAGCTCACAGGCCCTCAGTGCACTGATAAGGGACTCCACCCAGCCGATCCGCCGCCGAAGGCTGTTGAAGAGCTCCCAGAGGGTGCCCTGGTTCCCAGAGAGCTGGCAAGAGGCCCGCAGTCGGTCCTGGAAGACACAGCCAGCTGCCCTGCTCAAGCCAGGGGGTCCTGGCCCCTTCCCCACTCAGGAGGGGGGACAGCTGCAGAGAGAGGCTCCAAGTAGCCACAAGAGCGAGGCAGCCATCTGAAACTCGGTCAGAGCCCAGGACAAGGCCAGTGTTTGGGCCCAAGTTTAAAGGCGGTTACCAGGAAACAGGCTCTTACTGTGTGCCAGGCCCTGTGCTCAGGATGCTGCGAGCTATTGTCCCAACTCTACTGGTGAGGAAACAGAGGCTTAGCAGAAATAAGGTAACAAAGATCCTACGGACAGATCCTAGTTAGTTCTTCACCAAAGCCTGGGGTTTGTTCAGGCAGCCCCGAAGGCAAAAAGAAAGGGTTTGGATTAGCAGCAGAGAAAAGGGTACAGAGGGAACAGAAGATGAAAAGGAGGTAAAGGGACAGAGAGAGGAAGCCAATGCTAAGAATTAGGAGGCTGGGGGGGCTGAGAGACTCTGATAAGGAGTCTCAGGGCAGAGGAGGTTTTATGGGCACTGAATTCCCACATGCAGATGGGCAACCAGAGAGCAGAAACAAAGACCCACAGGAAACATATCTTGCAGAACTAGTCACAAGGCATCCCCACAAGCCCCCAAATCCAAGGGAGGGGGCCCAAATCCCAACAGCCACAGGCCTGCACCACCACCAGCACAGCCGCGTGGTGGCAGCAGAGAGCCGGTGCCACTGGGAGCAGCTAGAACTGGGAGGCGGCCAGCCCCCACTTCACTTGGGGCCACAGCCAGTTCTGAAAGGCTAGGGCAGCCTGGCTCCCGCAAGCTCTCAAAACTGAGCCCTGGGCTCCCTGTCAGGGCAGGGTCCCATGATAAGGTGAATGGAGTCAACACTGAGCAGGAACAATGACAAGAGACGACGTCAAGGAAAGTCCCGAGGGAAGCACGTGAGGGGACCGAGGCCCAGACATCTCAGGCAGCCAGCACCCTACTTTTTTAGCACTACACCGTATGGACGCGAGAGGGAGCTCAGCCACGTGGGAAAAGGCCAGCCTGAACCACAATTCATTCTGCAAGTTAGAGAAGCGTCAAGGTCAAGAAGCAGGATGCAGAAGATGGAGAAGGAAGGAGTTGGCCCTGGCTTTGGGGGGAAGCTCCGAGCCCCATGCCCCTGCACCAAGTCAGTCAGAGTCCCATGCCCCCAGCTCACCTGGTCACTTGTGGTGAGGCAGGACAGGTAAGGCAGTATCTCCAGAACATGAATGCGGTCAACAAAATTGCTGTAATGGTGGCGGATATACTCGTAAGTCTTTTCCTCGGCAAACGTCATCGCTGTCTAGGTTCTGAAGTGACGGAGGGTTCTGGCCCATAAAAGGACAAATGGAGAGGGGGGGGTAAAAAGGCTAGAAAAGAAAGCATACCACGTATGGTAACAGAGTTGGGAATGGGGTGGGACAAAAGGCAATGACTCCTTTCTTTCTCAATTCTCTGGAGTGCTTGCTTCTTTCTTTAATCGTCTAATTTTATTACTGCCTGAGTCCCAGGGGCCCTCAAGAAATTTGCTTAAAAATGAATTGATGACCGGGGCGCCTGGGTGGCTCAGTGGGTCAAAGCCTCTGCCTTCAGCTCAGGTCATGGCCCCAGGGTCCTGGGATCGAGCCCTGCATCGGGCTCTCTGCTCAGCGGGGAGCCTGCCTCCCCCCAACCTCTGCCTGCCTCTCTGCCTACTTGTGAACTCTGTCAAATAAATAAATAAATAAAATCTGTAAAAAAAAAAATGAAGTGATGACCAAAAGAAATCAGATCCAGCTCTAGGCCCCATTTTTGCCATGCAGGCTAGTCAGTGTTGGGGAGGGCTCTGGCTCCCTGCCATTGTCCCAAGGTTTGTTTGTGCCCTTAGCTGCTGACAGCAAGAAGGCTCCACCAAGAAGTGCTGCTTCCCTGGGGTGTACCAGGAAAAAAAAAGAAAGAAAGAAAGAAAGAAAGAAAAGCCCAAAATAATAATAGGATCATCCTACTTTAAAGGTGAAGGAAACAAAGTACCAAGAAATTAAGGGGCTTGCTAGTTAGTGGAAGAGCAAAAAATGGAAGTCTTCAGGCTTCAGAATCAGGTTCTTTCTAGAACATGACTGCAAGCCCACTATTAAGGCTTGCTGCATACATGTTCTTAGGGTAGGAGGCTGGTTCCACTCACTGTGTGATCTGGGGCAAATTACCAGTCCTTTGCAGGTTTCTCTTCACCCCTAAAATGGTTTAGAGAGCTTGTTTTGAAAACACAACAGTTCAACCACATTAAGGTTCACATTTAGAAGTGCCTAAATTACTAGCAATTGCTACTAGGTACTAACTTGCTACTTAGGTAGCACTTACCACAATTTGCAATTATAGATGGGGTTGTCTGTGAGTTTCTTACCTGCCTCCCCCCTCAGGGAGAGCTGCAGGGAATAAGAGGGACAAGATCTCTGCCATCATCCAATTTATATTCTATTGGGGTGGGACAGATAACAAATCAGTAAACATATACATAAATAAGATTTTCAGATATTAATCTTAAGAAAATAAAGCAGGGTAATGAGACAGAACCCCTGGAGAAAGGTATGTTGCATGGATGGAGGCGGTCAGGGAAGTCTTTCTGAATCCCTGACATTTGAGCTGAGGCCTTCTGGGCTGTAACAAGATCAGTCCTGGGGGTGGGGGTTGGAGGGCGGCACAGCAAATTAGAAGTCCTAAGGCATAAATGAGCTTGGCATGTTTGAAGAACAGAAAACAGGTCTGGGGGGTCCAGGTTTAGAAAGCTAGGGGGAGGGGCAGAGATCAAGATCAAGGAGGTTAGGAGAGGTGGCTCATGTGGGGTGTTGCAGGAAAGGACTTTGGGGGTTGTTTTGGGGGGGGTTTTTTGGAGTGAGATGGGAGGTCATCAGGGGGTTCTGAGCAGGGAAGGGAGAGGCCTGAACTTTTGTTAAAGACCTCCCTGGTAGTTGTGAAAACCTGGACTGTGGAGGGGCCAGAATGGAAGCAGGGAGACAAATCAGGAGGCTAAAGGAAGGGGCCGCAGGATGGGGATGGCGGGAATGCTGCCCTTGGAGGTGGTGAGAGGTGCTTGGGTTCCTGGTGTGCTGCGGATGTGGGAAGTGAGGAAGAGAGAAGAATCAAGGATGCTCAGGTGTTGGTGGGTGGAGGGTGCCATTCAGGCAGGCCAGAGAATCTGGTGGAGAAGCTGTGCTACAGAGAGGTCTCCAAAGCTCCATTTTGAACAAGTGAAGCCTAAGATGCTGTAACATGTCCAAGTAGGTTTTGTGGGAAGGAAGGGGTCAGGAGACGGAGGGTCAGGCTGGAGCAAAAACATAGGTGCCTGGCATGGGTGGGACTCTAGGCCTCATAGTCTCTTGTTATATGCCTTGCTTTGTTAGCCACCAGGGGCGACATTTCCGCTGGTTAATGTGTTAATGACAGAGGTCAAGAGGATCAAGGAGATTTGGGGGGGAGGCTCCTCTGAGCCTTCAGGAGATGAGCAAAGAACAACTCTAAGGTAGCTAAATGACCCTTTCTCCTTCTCTTCCATGGCATCCAGAGAGGTACCAGGAGAGAGTCAAGTAATACATTCTTCTGCATCTGAGCCTCAGCCCTTAGGCATAAGAGTTTGGGAAGTATGGGGACTCATGGGTGGCTCAGTGGGTGAAGCATCTCCCTTCAACTCAGGTCATGCTCCCAGGGTCCTGGGATCGAGTCTGGAATCAGGCTCCTTGCTCAGCCAGTTCTCCCTCGGCCTGCCGCTCCCTGTGCTCGCTCCCTCAGACAAATAAATAAAATCTTTAAAAAAAAGGGGGGGGGGGAGTATGAAGTATAGCATGCTCCAACCAAAAAAGAAAGGAAGTCCATATTTGTTCACATTTATTCACCGTTCCACTAGAGGCGGGCCCCTCCTAAGTTTCTTTCATTTAGGAGAGGAGAAATGATGCCAGGTTGCACAAGCAGACCAGTGGCCCTGTCAGGATTTGAACCCAAGACTTGCTGCCTCTTTGCAGCTCACCATAACGCCTTGCAGAATATAGGCCCTGCTGCAGCAAATGAGGCTCACAGCCCCAGAGGGACCAAGGGCACCGCTTGGGTGAGGGGAGTTGCTGGATAAGGGTGTGCCTGGGAGGCTGCAATATTTAGTCCCTTCTCTTGAAAGAACTGTAAATCGTTCAGACAAGCCCGAGTGCATTCCCTCTATGGCAGTCACGGTTCTCAGGTTGTTGACTGTACTTCAAAAAGTTTTTGAGACGCCTCAGCATGCACAGGAGAACGTCGTTTTTTTTTTTTTTTTAATTTGTTTTTGTTTTTGTTTTTGTTTTCCCAGCATTTCCTTCCGGTCTGAGAGAAGGGCGGACCGACGCTGCGAGGAGAGCTGTCTACCCGAATGCCCCGGAGGCTCTGAAAGGGTCCCGGAAAGAAATAACCACCAGCCGAGAGGGGCGAGGCCTCACCGACTGGGCTCCGATTGCTGGATGGGACCCGGACCAGGCTCGCTGAGGGAGGGAGGCTGTTCTGAGCAGTTGTTACCCCCGAGAACTGTCATGGCCCCGGGGAGGACTGCGGCCCCGGACTTGTAGGCGCGGCCGCGGATCCGGGAGGTTGGCGCGCCCGGGCCAGGCCTCGCCCCGGAGTCACCCTCGGCCTGCCGGGAGGCTGCAGGAGCTCCGCAGCCGGCGCCTGCCTTCTTCCCGCCCAACTTCCCCTCCAGTCCGGGCAGACGCCCCGCGCCACCCCCGGGGCTGGCTGAGGCTCGTGGAGCCCTCGCTGCGGCGAACTGCTCGTGGGCTCTTCCCCAGCCCCGCGCACCCAGTGGCGTCCCTGACCCCCGCGCGCCCCGGCGGACTCCGAGTCCCACTCGGCTCTTGACGCCGCTGGCCACCTCCCCGAACAGGATCCGCGTGCCTTGAGCCGACGGGACAGAGGGCCCGTGACGGCTAACCTACCTCAGGTAGCCACCACTCCACGACCCGCCGACCTCCGCGGACACTCCGGAACCCTCCCCAACAGGGAGGGGGCGCGGCGGGGAGGGGCGGGACGGCGCGGCCATTGGCCGGACGGCGGGGGGGCGGGGCTTCTCGGCACACCCGAGCCAGAGTGCAGTAGGCTGGGGGTGCTTGGCCTTGGCTCGGGGCCTGGACACGCGGGACAGCGCTCCCTGACCGACCTAGGTCCCCGCTGGGGCGTAGAGAATCAGATCATTTTCTTTCCTTGTTTGTCTCGAGCAACGTCCAGGGGAAATCCAGAATCCAAGTGGACGGCCGACCTCGGAGTCAGTGGTCGGCTAGGTCACCGTGCTCCCTACGCTAAGCAATCACTCCTCCCGCCGAGTAATTTGAAGGGGGAGGGCCTTTATGTCATTTGTACCTGGGCACCTAGGACCTGGCACACAGTTAGTGCTCAATAAATATAGGGTGATACGCGAAGTTCACAGGGCGACTCCTGGGGAAGCAGGATCGTGGTGGGAGGAAGCTGGGTAGGTGAAAGCTGGGCAGGGGCACCGCGATTGACTTGCCCTACCTGCTGGGTGTGGGTCTTTAGTGCTGCGTGATAGGCTTCTCTGCCCAAGGGTCTGAGGCAGGTACCTCCCCACAGTGCTTGCCAACTGCCTGGCCCTTCCTCTGCTTGGGGCAGAAGCCAGCAATTACTGAGCCCCCACTGTGTTCCAGGTACAGGCTTAAAGTCTTATACCTTAGAGCCCACTAAATACTCTCACAATAACCAGGTTGAGGTTTATTTTTCCCGGTTTTAAGAGATATTAAAAGATTCAGAAAATGGCAGTTCTTACTAAACTTAAATATGCCAAGTCTATCACCCAGCCACCACTCTCTTAGCCGTGTGTCCACCTAAAAATGTACAGGATACCTAGTGTTCATAGTGGCTTTGTTCGCAATAGCCAAACTCTGGAAACAACCCAGAGTTTCCCTCAGCAGGAGAATGAAGAGACCAAAAGTGGTGTGCTCACATTATGGAATAGTATACAGCAGTGAAAAAGACAATCGATCACTACGCATAACATGGATGACTCTCACCAGGATAAATGGGAACCACAGTTAACCAAGTCAAGCACAAAGAATACATCCTGTTTGTTCCTTCAGTGGCAAGGTAAGGCAAGGTTCAAAAACAGGCAAAACTCATCTACATAAATAGAAATCATTCACTGGTTACTTCTGGGTGGGTACAAGGGAACTTTTGCAGGGAATAGAAATGTTCTCTATCATTGTTTTAAAGATTTTATTCATTTATTTGAGAGAGAGAGCATGTACATGACCAGGGGGAGGGACAGGGGGAGAAGCAGACTTCTTGTTGAGCAGGGAGCCTGACGTGGGGCTTGATCCCAGAACCCTGGGATCATGACCTGAGCTGAAGGAAGGCGATTAACCAACTGAGCCACCCAGCCACCCAGGTGTCCCAGAAATATTCTGTATCTTGATGTGAGTGGTGGATACATGGGCTTGTGCATATGTAAAAATGCATCAGCTGTACAGTCAAGATTGTTATACTTTATACTACAACTTAAAAGTGAAAGACTGGGCACCTGAGTGGTTCAGTCAGTTAAGTGTCTGCCTTTGACTCAGGTCATGATCCCAGGGTAGGAAGATCAAGTCCTACCTCTGGCTCCACACTCAGTGGGGAGCCCGCTTGAGGTTCTCTCTCTCCTCTGGGGCCGGGGGAGGGGTGGGGGGGTGAGGAGGGTAGGGAGGTGGGGCGTGCTTTGGCAGAGATCACATGCAAATGCCTGAGTACACACCTATCTTAAAAGTCAATGCTCCCAAACTAAGCCACAGGAAAATGCCTGAACACTTTTTAGATGAGATTTTATTCATTAGTAATCCTGTGGATATTTCACAACATTCAGCATTTACAAAATGTTATTATCACACCTGAACTCAACTAACTGTAATAAAGCCAGTATGCCTTGTTTAGCCAAGACAGGGTGAATGTCAATTGGTTCAAGAATTCATCTTGCCTGCTACCTACTCCAATCCATGACCTCATATCTAATTCTTGAAGGAAGAACACGGGAGGGGCACCTGGGTGGCTCAGTGAGTTAAAGCCTCTGTCTTCGGGTCGGGTCATGATCTCAGGGTCCTGGGATCGAGCCCTGCATCGGGCTCTCTGCTCAGCGGGGAGCCTACTTCCCCCACTCTCTCTGTCTGCCTCTCTGCCTACTTGTGATCTCTCTCTCTCTCTCTGTCAAATAAATAAAATCTTAAAAAAAAAAAAAAAGAATATGGGAGTGTGACGACTGGCTTCCAAATGCAATTTTCACCCCTGTCTCTACCCTTATATTAGGAAAAAAAAAAAACAACAAAAAACACAGCTTTCTCAAAAACACAATGAGATACTATCTTAGCCCATTTGGGCTGCTGTCTGGGAGGCCCAGACAACAAACAATTATTTCTAATTCTGGAGGCTGGGAAGTCAAAGATCAAGGTGCCAGCAGATTTGGTGTCTCATAGACGCTCACTTGCTACTTCAGAAAACAGTCTTCTTGCTGTCCTCACATGATGCTTCCATCATGTGAGCAAGGGAGATCTCTGGGTCTCTTTAAAAGAGCACTAATTTGGAGCACCTGGGTGGCTCAGTGGGTTAAAGCCTCTGCCTTCAGCTCAGGTCACGATCCCAGGGTTCTGGGATCAAGCCCTGCATCCGGCTCTCTGCTCAGCAGGGAGCCTGCTTCCTCCTCTCTCTCTGCCTGCCTCTCTGCCTACTTGTCATCTCTGTCTGTCAAATAAATAAATAAAATCTTAAAAAAATAAAAAAATAAAAGAGCACCAATTTGATTCGTAAGTGCTCCACCCTTGTGACCCAAATCACCTCCCAAAGATACCACCTCCAAATACCATCACATTGGGGATTGGATTTTAAAATATAAATGGTGGGGACATAAACATTTGGTCTATAGCAGATACAAACCTTTAGGATGGCTACTATAAAACCAACAAACAAGAAAATAACAAGTGTTGGCAAGGATATGGAGAAACTGGAACCCTTGTACATTACTGGTACGAATGTGAAATGGCGCAGCTGCTATGGGACAGGATGGCTGTTTATTGTGGTGTAACATATACAGAACATAAAATTTAACATATTCTAACCACTGGTAAGTGTACAGTTCTCTGGCAGTATTCACACTGCTGTGCAGCCAACGCCACTGTCCATTTCCAGAACTTTTTCATCTTCTCCAACTGAACCTCTCTACCCATTAAACACTAAGTCTTCACGCTCCATTGCTCCCCAGCTCCTAGAAGCTCCTATGCTACTTTCTGTCTCTAGGAGTTTGACTGTTCTAGAGAGCTTATGTAAATGGAATGATACAATATTTGTCATTTCGTGATTGGCTTATTTCATGTAGCATAGTGTCTTCAAAGTTCATCCCTGTTATAGTATGTGTTAGAATTTCCTTCCTTTTGAAGGCTGAATAAAATTCCATTGTATGGATAGACCACATTTTGTTTATCCATTTGTCCACTGCTTCTACCTTTGGCCAGTTGTGAATAATGCTGCTGTGAACGTGGAGGTACAAATATCTGTTGAAGTCCCCACTTTCGTTTCTGTGGGTATACCTCCAGAAGGAGACTTGCCGGATTGTATGATAATTCTATTTTTAAATGGGAAAATGGGTGGAGAGGTTCAGCTGCAGAAGATGAAAAAGTTCCAGCAATGGATGGTGATAATGGCTGCAAAACAATGAATGCTCTTAATGCCAGGGAA